ATGTCTATGCTGGTAGAACTGAAAGACGGGAAGGTACAAAACCAGGGAGAACACGTGTGGATACTGGAGACAGTGTGGGAGGGCAGCTGGGAATGGGAGGAGGGGAGGAATTAGGGGGAATAAAGCATGACATTTAACAGACACAAAAATGGAAAGTTATCTATTGATAATAGGGTACATGGTAATGTTTGACTGACTGGACTAATATACAATGTATTCACACTAGGAAACGTTAATTTGTATGCTCTACAGATGTATAGTGATTAAATTAAAAATGCCCACAAGGGGAAAAAATATGATCTCAGCAATAAGAACAAAGGAAAAAGAATATAGAAAATAAAATTAAAATGTGGAAACAACCAAAAATCTGTAGTCATTAACAGTATCCTATTAAATAAATAAATATAAGTGAATAAATACAATATAATAAATTTATTTATATAAATGAATAAATATAATATAATAACTACATAAATTGTTTTAGTAAATAATTTTATACCTACCAAATAAATGTTTGCCAGTAACTGTCTCTACCACAAGTTACTTTTTTCAAGAAGTCTCCATTACTGCACAGGAGATGGAGCAAAATCAACCATCCCAGTTAGTAATAGCAGCAAACAGGGCCTATGGGAATGCAGAAGTAGGGGTATCATATGTGATAAAAATTACATTAATGCAGCTATAGATTTTTTTTTCTCATGAAAATAATGTTGGAGCCAAATTTTAGAATATAAATACAAATTTTTCAGACAGAAAAGGAGAAGGTAAAGTATTCCACACAAAGAAATCAGCAAGCATGTTAAGATGTAGTAAGATAAGAAGTAGCATGTTAGTTGTCATTGTTTTTAAAGTTGTTGTTTATCAACAATTATTACACTTGGTAGTTTAAACACCACTGGGGAAATAGATGAGTAAATTCAGAACACCTGAACAGGATAACATTGTGACAATTGGGAAAAATAGATGTTGGCTAGAAAACCAGCTGGAGACACGTTGAGAGCAATGATGTACCGTATTGGCTTGGCCATCTGGCAATAATTCCCAACGATGATGCCAGAGCAAGAGAAAACCAGGCAAGCAGTGTAAACTATCATGCTCAGAAACAAATGTATGTGCCTTTTGCAAGCAATAGACAGATCCTAATTACTAGATCAGTCTTACCCCTTAAAATGCTCTGTTATTTCAGCCCCATTAATTTATGTATTTCTTCATTAACTGTACTTCCTTTTGAAGGCAGTTTTAAAATAATTGTCAGATATGTGTATGCCCCAAATTTTGTTATCCTGGAAGTCTTGTTTTCATCTACAGTCATTTCGTACAGTCAAGAAGACAATGAATGATTATGTGTTAGATTCCATATTAGTTTTACATTCTAAATTTCAGAATGAAACCTTCCTCCCAAGCTTTCATGGAGCAGTACATGGGGATGGATATACTTTCAATATTGTAGCCAAGGATTTATATTCAACCTAAATCTATCGATAATTTTGTAGTACGAGTCATTATATACCCTCATTAAGAGTAGATTATATTTTCCCCCATTAGACGGTAGGCTGGCTTTGTGCCTCGTAGCAAACAAAAATCATAGAGATTTTTGTTGTGTTAGTTCTAAACTTAAACCTCGAGAGGGATTGTGTGTGGTGACTCCCTCTCTAGAGATTCATGTGTGAACACAACCAAGCTAACTTGTTGAAGGAAGACAGACCTTATGTAGCACTTTCAGTGATGTAAGTATAAGAAACATCTTTTTTTTTTCCTGTCTTTCTTTTCCAATCATGGTACAATAATCTTTCTCAATATAAAGGAGCCCTACATAAAAGCAGAAATATGGCCACCTGCAGAGGCAGGATATACCCTTAACTCTGTATCTGGTTTGGATGCCACACACATCTCAAGAGGATATGAAAAGGTTTATTACTCACATAATGAGTTTTTCTGGGGAGAGTAAGACAGCTATCAAACAGCACAAAAATAGCTTGAAAAATCAAGGGAGAGTGCTTTTATTTTTTAATTTTTTTATATACTTTTTAGGCAGTTGGATGGGGCTAAATGAAGATTTTCTTGAGTGATTTGTGCTTCCCACAGGTGCCAAGGGAAGGAGCACCCAGAATTTGTTTCTTCTTTGCCAGATTGTTGTATACATTGTGCAGAGGAGCAAGATCAAAGTGAAAGATAAAAAGTTGGTCAATAGACGATCATCAAAATTTATGTGAAAGCCTTATTATAATTCACCACTGGTATTTACCCAATGACTAAAATATGCCATATTTCATTGAATGTGTACTTTTTCAAGTATGTTATTATAGTGTTTGATGAGACCCCTGGCATGAGGTCTGTAAGGGAGGTGAAAGATCCACTGAATGGCTTGTTGAAAAATTAGTGCTGGGTATTCTGAGAACTCAGATGTGAGTCTAGTGCACAGCAAATATCTGCAACTTTAAAACAAATAAAGGAGTATCTTGATGAGGCCTTGCAATGTGACTTCTAGTTTATGCAGAGGCATGTGTGACTCATTTTGGACCTCTCTGATGTGAGAGATGTTTAGATATTTACACCAAAGAGGACAATTTTGGTAAGAAATTGTTTTTCCTGCCACTGGCTGACCATATAGATGAACTAGAAGGCAAGGCAAGGTTTACTTATTAACATGTAAACATAAATGAAGTCAATTTGTTATAAAGGTAGAGTTAATAAAAATGTATTTGTGAAAGACTATATTCATGAAAAATTTAACATGGTAAAGAACAGTTTTATTTTAACACACACACACACACACACACACACATACACACACACACAATTATAATCCCTGACAATAATGGCCACTAGGTATATGTGGCTAAAGAAATAAAAAGTAGAGATATAAAGGCTAGAAAGAACAGAAAGTATATATCGGACATAAGATAAACTGGCCATTATCAGAAAGAATGAAATGCAGACATAGAGTTTGGATATGGAGAAAGTAGGAATCAGCAAAATGAAATTTGCTTTCCACATTTTCTTTTGAAATGTGGGCATAAAACTTTCTACCCATAGTTGTTTCATATATTCAACATAACATATTCATTTGACGGAGAAGTGAAATGCAAATATTTTTGAAAAATTAATACAGACCAAGTCCAGCTGGTGGCATGGTGGTTGGGGCAGCTGGATCTCACATAGTCAGCTGTGCAGTTTGAATGCCTGCTTTGGTGACTTGAGGAGCATGCCAGGCGCATGTGCATGCATGCCCGAAGTCCTGAGAGTAGCGATGAGGAGAGCAGATTGTGTGGCCGTGCTCCTTTTAGGGCAGGTGATTTCTCACTTTCCCTGTCTCTCTCTCTCTCTCAATCTGGTTGATTAATGTGCCCTGTGGCAAAACTAAAATAAATAAATAAATAAACAAACAAACAAATCCTCAACCATTTTGGACCCACGTGAAGAGGTCCAGGGTTCATCCCAAGGTCTTCCTTTCATTCTGGTCATAAGAATAGATGCCCACGATTGTGGCTGGTGAGATTAGGGGTGACTGTGACACAGAGATCCATCGAGGGGAGCCTATCTCTCTCTGTTTCTCTCTCTCTCTCTCTCATGGAAGACACAAATAAATAAACTTTAAAAATTAATAGAGCTAATACAGAAGAAATTTTTTATAAGTAAAAGATCTTTTTATTAGTATAGCTCTCCTACTAAAACCAAGTTTTTCCAAAGATTTCTTCACTGTTTTTGTTATATTCATGTATCAACTTTTTCTGGAGAGCTTTGCTATAAAAATTTGAAATTGATCACTATATCAAGTCTTTTCTATAAAAATTGGATTGAGAACACAATTTTTTAGTTTAGGTTGTATGACTGTAATATTAATAGTCAATAGGCTACTGCCTAGAAAGATTTGTGTAAAACTAAAACTTATTTCTGTCTTCTTGCACTATAAATCCTTAAGTATAGAATCTTTACTTGCATAAAGATAGTTTCATATTATTAACAAATATTTTTTACCATAACTAATTTTGCTATTTATATAAGACCAAAAATAGTATTATATTTTGAGTTAAATAGCATTTTCAGTTGTCTTAGCTGTTATCCTGAGCTGAAAGGATCTAAATTTTCAGGGTATTTTTCTCTTTTTCAAAATGTTATTTTCATGCATTATGTTATAAGTGATACATTCTATTAAAATGCCTATTTCCTTATAGGTATCAATGTACATTTATTCTTAAACATGACAACTGACAGAGATTCCGTTCATATTAACTTGGAAACTTTTTTTTTCTTATGGGCTTGATGGTATTCTAAAAAATCAAAGGAAAAATAATAACCAATTTCTTGACATGGAGATGGATTACTAGGACCTTAAAATTTTAAGGATATTGAATGGATTAGAGATGGATTATGTAGTCTATAATCACAAGAGAAAGGAATAAAATAAATTGCTGTTATATTTGGGAAATTGACTTATAAGTAGAAATGACATCATCTAGCTGTTAGAGAAGTCATGCAGTTAAAACTACTTTCGAAATGATAAAACCATACTCAAATGACTTACCCATATGTAATAGGCATAATTCTTGAATCACTCTCATGGTTTCCCGATTCCTAATAAATTTTTCTTTTAATTGTTATTATAGTACTAAATATAATTTAAAAAAGAAAAATCACAATTTAGCAATAGTCTTTGAAGAAGTCACAATATTTGATCATTATTTAAATGATTGATCATATATAATAAACTAACGCTTTATTTGATTATTTTACTTGAGAAATGAAAAATACCTTTTTTTTTTCAGTGAGTGCAAATGTTTCCATGTCTGTTGATGAAAATTTAGTAAGGGTCTTATGACTTCCCTATACTCTCTCAGTTAATCACACAATTTGGATCTCTTAAAGTTGCAAACTCTGTCTCAATTTTATAATTAAAAAGGTCATGTCCCAAATCAGTCAGTAATCAAAGAGTAAATCTTATTCTACCTTCATGCTGATTGGCTTCTCTTCAACTGATTCATTTATGATCCCACTTGTAGCTGTAAGACGGAAGTGGAGGATGCTTCATGATAGGCGGAGAAGTGGGATGAGACTCTTCCAGCTTCACTTTGTTGGCTTCTGGCTTGCCAGGCCTGAAGATGGGAAAACTCATGAAGTTTTAGAGGTAACGATCACTGAAACTCTTTAATTTCAATGCCTACAAATGGGTAAATTAACTGCATTTCAGCTGGTCTGTCAGGGTCCCTCCTTGGCTCCTAGTTGTCTTCTTTCAACCACACACAACCTTTTTCTGTAGGAGTTTCCTCGCCTTCTAACAATAATGCTGGAGGGCAGTGTACTGAATAGCCTTGGGCCTCTTTTCCTCTCGCAGTCCACTGCTGGCTCAGGGAAAATTAATGAACATTCCTTCCTGACACAGCTATTTCTGTTCTGCCATGTTTGCAAATTTGAGGGAAAGTTAGACAATAGTCCGCTCTATTCTCCCAAAGCAGGAATATTTCCATCTTTCTGACTGCATGAAAGAAAATCTTAGAAAGGAGGTAGATTCTGTCCCTTTTCTACATCCTTAGAGCTCTGTGAGGGCAATGAGAAGACGATGGCGTACGGAAGATGAGGGCATAACCTCAGAGCCCCTCTACTCTTTTTAAAGAACTATCTACATGTTTCTCTTTCCTTATCTCTTTATTTTTTTTATTTGTGAAATGACTGAAAAATTTACAAGTTATGGAACTGATTTTTGGAATGTCTTTTGTAAAATATGACTGTACTAAATCTGTATTTCAAGTTTCATGTCTATTTGTTTTTTGCATCCTGACAAATCTAACTTAACATAATTTAGATACATAATACTAAAGTAAACTACTTTTAATTTATGATCTTATAATTAAAATGTTCCTTAAAGTGTAATTCACTGGCTAAATACTTATTATATATTGTAGAATTGCCTTCCACAAAGTATGTGAACTTTCACTTCTCCCTCCAGTAAGTGAGAGTACCCATAGGTAAAATACAGCATTTTTTTAATAATTAAATATTAAGTTTCTTTTATCATTGATGATAGGAAATAAAATTTGCAAGATTCTTTTTTTCAATTCTGTTAGACTTGATGTAACATTCTTTTTGAAGTATTGGTGCCATGATTTATAATCACATTCTCCTTTAAAAACTCCAGGCTCAATATTGCCATAGCTTTTTCTACCTAGCTGGGAGGAGGTGCCCCTTCACCTCAATACTTAATAGGATTTAGACAGTGAAGAACTAGAAAATTCTAAATATATTACAGATCCAGAGAGAGCTATTCACTGGGTCAAGAAAAATCTTTGAAATTTTATGGAGAGTTTCAATTTTAAGAAATAATTTCTCAAAGGTGGTTTTTACTTAATCCTTACCAAAAATCCTAAGGGAAGGCTATTTGTTCATATTTTGATAAAATATAAACAGGTTTAAAAATGATACAGCAAATTTGAAGACAGACATTTTTCTGCTTAATCATCCATGTTCATGGCCAACATTTGTATGAGACAGTCTAGGAGAGTAACATTTAGGAAATTCTTCCTTCCCAGGGACATTCAGAGTAATTGCATAGATAAAATCTTCTTCTTAATCTTCTTAGAGAAAATTTGGTAACATCTAAGGCAAAAATCAGGTCTATATTCTCCTATAGAAGATAGGTAGATGTTATGGTCTCATTGTTCACGTTCCCTCAAAATTGATGTGTTGAAACCTAAACTCCAATATGATGATATTATGAGGAGGGGCCTTTGGCAGGTACCTTAATTCTTTGGGATTAATGCCCTTATGAAAGAAGCCCTAGAGACCACTTTGTCTGCTCTATCAGGTGAGGACACAGTGAGAGAGCACTGCCTATGAGCAAGGAAATGGTCTTCAGTAGAAATCAAGTCTCTGGCAGTATGGGAGGAGGGTGGGAGAGAAGAAGAGTATAGGGAAGCAAATTAGGGAGAAAGAAGAGAGAGACAAGACATTTGTGGGACACAGTTATGGTTTATTACCTATTCATAACATATAGTATGCTCAACTGGACAGGTCTGAGGTGTACTTCTTGTTAGATAAATTCTCTGTGCAAGCCAAACGATGTATAGCAATTGAATGAATAAAAATAATAGTAATAAAAACGTTAAAATTAAAACTAAAAGACATCAAATCTGCTGGAGCCTTGATCACAGACATCCTAGTCATAAGAATGATAAGAAACACATTTCCACTGGTTTTAAGTGTCCCAGTTTATGGTAGGTATCTTGTTATAGTGTCCCAAATGGGCTGAGCCAAACGTCAATACCTAAGAGTTTCCTAGTTTCAGAATTTCACTCCTGTAAATGCACACTGCATGTGCCCTCATCTTGTCACTATGTAGGGGTTTGAGGCTCAGGAAATATTGTTAAGATGTTACTTGTGACGATGTGTGTAATTAATTGTCTTTGTTTATAGCCCAGAATCCTTGTGTCTTCTGTCTACATACATACACACGCACACCCATGTGTATATATGTATGTTCAATCAATAATAATGACTATTAGTCAGCTAACTGCAACATACATTATTCCAAAGATAAAGAATGCCTTGCAAAGGCTTATTAGCAGAATAAACAGTGAGGACCCAGCATAAAGATAAGTCAAAGAAGTTTCACAAAGTGAAATACACTGTAGCCATTGAGTAATGAAAAGAATCATATGATTTGAAAAGAAAAAGGCAAAAGTATGTTTACTGAAAATATATATAATCACATTGAAAATTCCCAAACATCTTCAAAAAAAGACTAGCAGAACTAATAATTCAGTTGAGAAGTTGGAAAGAGATCATTTCTGTAAACCAAAAATGCTTTGTATTTCTACGTATAGCAATAAAAAAATGAAATTTAAATTTATCTCTATATCTATCTATCCATCCACCCATCCATATGCATAGGGAGAAGTCTAACCAAATACATCCAAGATTTATATGCATAATACTAAAACATTGACGAAATAAATCAAAGAAGAAATTTTAAAAAAGGATATTTAATAACATGATCATAAACTGGAAGACTCAAAATTGTTATCATTTGTACCCAAGTTGACATATAGATTTACTGTTATCCCGATCAAAATCTTGGCAAGTAGTTTTGGAGAATTTAACAAACTTTTTCCAAATTGTACCTGAAAAAATAATGAGAATGGCTAAAATATTGGAATGTTGGGAAAGTCATGACATTTTTTTCTATGCTTTTGTATGAAAAACTGCATTGTGATTGGAACTAGCAGATGGAGTAGAAGCTATGTTGCTGGGCTCCCATACATTGACCGTGGACGGAGTCCCAGACCTGGTGGTTTAAAACTCACACTGGATGTTTGTGTGTGTGTGTGTGTGTGTGTGTGTGTGTGTGTGCGTGCCCAAAATCCTAAGAGGAAAATGTAGGAGAAGTGATTGTGGTTTGGCCATCCCCCCTAAAGGGGTGATTTCTTGCTTTCTCTCTCTGTGGTGAGTGTATGCACCCTATTGCAAAAATCTCTCTCAAAAAAAAAATCATGACTTTTCCAATAACCCAATAATTTAGACATTTTGAGGATACTTGATGTTAACATTTATAATTAAATTAAATTATCTAAACTGTGTCCAATTGATTAAATTTTAGATATATAAGTTAATAGAACATAATGCAGGAGTCCAGAGATTTATCCACACATATATGGCCAATTAATTTTTTTTGAGAGGTTTTTGCTAGAGGACACATGTGCTCACCAGACAGACAAAGAGAGAAAGAGAGACAGAAAGCGAGAAATCACCCCCCAGGGGGATGGCCATGCCACAATCCCTTCTCCTCCATTCTCCTCTTGGGATCTTGGGCACGCACGCACACGTACCCGGCGTGAGTTTAAGCCACCGGGTCCGGGACTTGAACCACGGTCGACTACATGGGAGTCCAGCGACATAGCCATTAGGCTATCTGCTGGTCCCTGGCCAATTAATTTTGAACAGAGTTGCAAAGGAAATTCAATGGGAAAAAGGAAGGCTTTTTCAGTTGGCATTGAAACATTCTGATGGCAATATACAAAAAAAAAATCTGAATTCATACTTTTTAACATATATAAATAAAAAACAATTAATAGTATTTTAGCATATTTATATTTGCATCTATGTTTTCTTCCCATATGAATTCATAACATATTTTAATTCCAAAGCACTATTTCATATCAGTAAGCTTATGTGTTTTAGAAGTAGAGTGGACAGATTTCAAATTAAAATCTTACTTAAATTGTATATACTTGGCAGATTCGATGGACTTTTATGGTTTGATTATATTATTTGTAAAACTAGTAATACTATATGTATACCTACTTTGTAGGATTTCAATAATACTTTAATGAGGCTGTTCATATATTATTTAAAAAATATTTACTGACACCAGCAGGAGTCTTGATGGTTAAGCCATTGGATTCCCACATGTCCAACCATGGTTCAAGCCCTGGTCCTGGTCACTTGAAAAATCACACCTGAAATGTTTGTGTGCATGCCCAGACTCCTGGGAGGAGAGGGAGGAGAAAGCATTATGACATGGTCATCTCCCTTGGTCAATGATTTCTCACTTTTTCCTCCCTCTGTTTCTCTGCCTCTGTCTCTCTCTCTCTCTGGCTAGTGCATGCACCTATGATAACCTAAAGAAAATATTTACTATTTACTTTATGCTGGGCAGTGGCCTAAGAGTACATGTGTCCTGTAGCAAAATTCTCTCTTTAATATATACATATATATATATAGGCCAATTAATTTTGAACAGAGTTGCAAAGGAAATTCAATGGGAAAAAGGAAGGCTTATGCATACATACATATATATATACATACATATATGTATGTGTGTGTGTGTGTGTGTGTGTAGAGAGAAGTGTATATATATATACATATATATATGTATATATATATATAGTAAGTGTGTATATATGTATCTATATATATATATATAGTGTGTATGATACATATACACGCTCCTTTAAATTTCCAACCTGTGAGACTGTGATGGGTTTTGTTCAGTCTCCTGAGGAAATGTCCTACCACTCTGTCCCATATGGTAAAATGTGATTTTTAATGTTACTTACATGTATGTAATATTTATAAATGTATAAATATCAGTGTATGTTGGTGTAAAACATTCTTCAAGCAGCCTG